TTATATAAACTGTTTAGAAAAGGCAAATTTATAGAGACAGAAAGTAGATTAGTGGTTGCTCTGAGATGGGGTGGGAATGGAGATTATCTACAATTGGTCATGAGGATGAAAATTGGAGGATGAAAAATGTTCTAAAAACAATTTATAGTTTACAAAACCTGTTAAATTTACTAAAAATTATTGAATTGTATACTTGAAATGGGTATACTTTATCATATGTAAAATACACCACAATAAAATCATTTAAAAAAACCATGCAAACAAAACATGTTTTACAAGGTCACATACAAATAAAAAGAGATGCATGAAACCAGAATGGCTGCCTATAAGTATGTTTATGTAAGGGGAATGACAGTGAGAGTTGGAAATGGATATGTAGGAGAATTTATAAATTAAGAAATTATTTTAAATAAGAGAAGGGTCTGCATGAAACAATGATGTTTGTGAGCTGTGAATGTAAGAGTATAAACAGCTCAACCCTCTGCAAATGAAGTCTTAAACAAAAATAAAATAAATATTCTTATATTTTTAAAAGAAAAGGAATCATAATTCCAATTCCTATTTTTGCAGACACTAAACTAAGTCATACAATATAGAAAAACTTCAGGTAACCTAAATTTATTGTGATTATGCTACGTAAATGCATAAATATTTGAAATGCTGCATGCATGGTCAATACTACAAAATTTATTACATTCTAAAGAAGGAATAACATACCATTAAAAAGGACAAGTACTCCCTGAATGTTGCAGGCTAGCTATCTTACTACTTCACTATCACTTACTATACTGTTGGATGTTTATGACACTGATGAATTATAGATGCATACAATCCCCAAAAGATAAAGAAATATTGATCTTTAAGGGCTTAGTAATAGGAAACAATTTTCCCCCAAAGTATATACCATGGAAATGGAAACATTAGTCCTTCTTATTACCATGAGAAGCTCTGCCTGTGAAGAGCTCCCTGGTCAAATAAGTTTAGGAATACTGCACAAATATCCCCCCCACTAATGTACTCAACAATATGTTAACATATTTAAGTCTTCAAGACTTTCAAAAAATACATCTGCTTTAGTTTATTTACGCACAAAATCCTTTTTTCATGTAACACCTTTTTGTACTAAGAGGGATATACACTTTTGAAAACACTTCATTAAAGAGGTGTTGTTTGCTCATCAATTCATTCAACAAGTATCTACTCAACATCTACCACAGGCCAGGTTCTGTTCTAGGTGCCAGGATTTTAGCAGTAGAGAAAACATATTTCTTGCCGTCATAGAGATTTACATTACAGACGATATTACATATTCTCTACATGTTTTTTCTATTATATGTATATAGGTGGTAATATTATCGAATAAATGAGGATAAATGTCAATATTGAAAAAAACAGTGAGTAAAGCAAAGACGTATTTGAAACAACGTGTTTAGACAGGATGGGTTAGATGAACTATTTTCCAAATAGATGGCAACTTAAAGACCAATGGATTATAGCCAAAAGAGCGGTCAGTAGGGAATGTTTAGAATAACTGGGTATATGTACGATGGAATGTGATACAATCATATCATTCATGTGACTAATAAGGAAAAAAAGAAAAACCTGAAAAACATTATGAACGGCATGATTCCATTTATTTAAAAAAGTTCTCTAGAAATAGTATTTTTAATATAAATTTATTTGTATATGAGTAGAAAATGTGTAAAAAAGACATTTTAACAGTGGTTGGTTACCTCTGGGGAATAGGAATTGATTATCATGGGACGTTTTTAGCTTTGTGTATTAACTGATTTCTTAAAAACAAGAACACACATTACTTTTATAATGAGATGAGACAAAATTTAAGACTAATGAACTAGTATTTCCAGCCAAAGCATAAGAGTTGAAGGGAGGAAGGAGTGGTACAATTTTTTTCTAGTTTGAGAAAATTTAACTGAAAAAGGACAAAAGGATCACTCTGTAAACTAGTGGTTAAGAAAATACTGCAAAATGAGGTGCTTTGGGGTGGGGTTAGGCACATGACTTTGAAACAAAGGATTAAAAAAAGAACTATGTGTTCTTCTTCTGTGGCAACTACATTCTGACACAAAGAAAAACAAAACTAGAGCAAGTACTTCGGAAAAAAGCCGAATAAGAATGCTTTGATGTACTTAAGCATCACCCTTTAGCTGCAAATACTTAACGCAGCAAATAAGTATCAGTTTTTCTGATTAGAAGTATTAAAAGTATTAAAATGAAAAATTACCTTTCTTATAAGGTGGTTCTCAGTGTCTGCCACATATATGATATTATTCCTTATGGCTACACCCTGTGGAGAATTAAAAGTCGACTCTGAAAATATTCCATCTTTTCTTCCAGGGT